CCCCAACCCCTTTAAGGGACCCTGGGGGACACCCCCAACCCCTTGGGGACACCCCAAAATTCTTTGGGTGACCTTGGGGATACCCCCGACCCCTTTAAGGGACCCTGGGGGACACCCCCAACCCCATGGGGACCCCCCCAGACTTTTTGGGTGACCTTGGGGACACCCCCAGCCCCTTTAAAGGACCCTGGGGGACACCCCCAACCCCTTGGGGACACCCCCAAGTTCTTGGGGTGGCCTTGGGGAGGGGACACCCCCAACCACTTGGGGACACCCCCAGATCCTTTGGGTGACCTCGGGGACCCCCCAACCCCTCCAGGTGACCTCGGGGGACCCCTCTTGGTCACCCGGGCAGGGACCCCTCTGGGGACAAACCCCCTCCCGGGGCAGGGGGAGGGTGACAGGGAGGGGCCACCCCCCGTTCTGTCCCCGTGTCCCCCCCCCATCCCCGGTGTCCCCCTAAAACTCCCCTCCTCTTCCTCCCGGCGCAGAGGAAGAGCCTGGAGCTGGCGCTTGGGAAGAGCCTGCCGGGGCCACCACCGGGGCCACCACCGGGGCCACCACCGGGGCCACTCACGGGGCCACCCACGGGGCCACCGGGGCCACCGGCAGGGCCACCAGCGGGGCCGCTGCCCCTCACCCTCCGCTTTCACCTGCCCAAGGAGAGCGAGGCCGAGCCCCCCCCGCGCCCCACGGTAACCCCCCCCCATGTCCCCGGGGTCCCCAAGGGTCACCAGGGGTCACCAAGGGTCACCAGGGGTCACCGGGGTCACCAGGGATACTAGGGGTCCCCAAGGGCTACCAGTGGTCACCAGGGATTACCAAGGGTCATCAAGGGTCCCCAAGGGTCACCAGGGGTCCCCAAGGGTCACCAAGGGTCACTGGGGACACCAGGGGTTACCAAGGGACACCAGAGTCACCAGGGGTCACCAGGGTCACCAGGGGTCCCCAACTGTCCCCCAGGGTCATCAAGGGTCACCAGGGGTCACCAGAGGTCCTCAGGGTCACCAGGGGTCTGCAGGGGTCACCAGGGGTCCCAAAGGGTCACCAGGGGTCACCAGGGTCACCGGGGTCCCCAAGGGTCACCAGGGTCATCAGGGTCACCAAAGGACACCAGGGGTCCCCAAGGGTCACCGGGGTCCCCAAGGGTCACCAGGGATCTCCAGGGTCACCACGGTCACTGGGGTCACCAGGGGTCACCAAGGGACATCAGGGGTCCCCAAGGGTCACCAGGGGTCACTGGGGGTCTGCAGGGGTCACCGGGGTCCCCAAGGGTTACCAAGGGACATCAGGGATCCCCAAGGGTCACCAGGGGTTACCAAGGGACACCAGAGTCACCAGGGGTCAGCGGGGTCACCAGGGGTCCCTAACTGTCCCCAAGGGTCACCAGGGTCACCAACTGTCCCCAAGGCTCATCAAGGGTTCCAAGCTGTTCCCAAGGGTTGGCAGGGGTCCCCAAGAGTGGATACTGGGAGCACTGGGGGGATACTGGGGGGATACTGGGAGCACTGGGAGCATTGGTGTGAACTGGTGTGAACTGGTGTGAACTGGGCTGTCCCCCCAGAAGAGGAAGGTCGAGGTGGTGTCACCGGCCACGCCCGTCCCCGCCCCCACTGAGACCTCTCAGGCCTCCGTGTTCCCCCAGGTGAGCCCAGTACGGACCAGTAACACCAG